GTTTAAATTCTGATTTTTAAACTACAAGTTCACCATATTACAGATTCAACAAATTAGGTTATCAGATTTTTTTATTTTTATTTTTTGTTTGCTATTTTACTTTATTTTTTTAGACACAGGGTCTGGCTCTGTTACCCAGGCTGAAGTGCAGTGGTGAAATCCCAGCTCACTGCAGCCTCAGTCTCCTGGGCTCAAGTGATCCTCCTACCTCAGCCTCCTGAGTAGCTGCGACTACAGGCGCACACCACCACGCCTAGATAATTTTTAAATTTTTTTGTAGAGACAAAGTTTCACTGTGTGGCTCAGGCTGGTCTTGAAGTCCTGGCCTCAAGCAATCCTGCTGCCTCAGCCACCCAAAGTGGTGAGATTACAGGCATGAGCCACCACACTCAGCCAGATTTTGTTTCTTTGTGAACCTACAAAGAAGATATTAGCAAACCATTCTTTATAGTGTCTGACTTTTTTTTTTTGAGAGGGAGTCTCACTCCATTGCCCAGGCTGGAGTACAGTGGTACAGCCTTGGCTCACTGCAACCTCTGCTTCCTGGGTTCAAGTGATTCTCCTGCTTCAGCCTCCCAAGTAATTGGGACAACAGGCGCGCACCACCATGCCTGGCTAATTTTTATATTTTTAGTAGAGACGGGGTTTCACCATATTGGCCAGGCTGACCTTGAACTCCCGACCTTGAGATCCAACTGCCTCGGCCTCCCAAAGTGCGGGGATTACAGGCGTGAACCACCATGCCCGGCCCATCTCTCATGGTTTTTAAGCCACTTTCTTAAAAGGTTTTTAAAAGAAATGCATATCACTAGCTACTATCTGATATTGAAATTTTAGAGTCCTGTAAGAAGAGCCTCCATTGTCTAACTGTTCAAATCATAGATCCTTATGTTCTTCTCTTCCTTGTCTCGTTTGATCCCTCCCTGGCCTGTATAGTAGTAGTGTCTTCAAAACTCCACATTTTTAGCCATCAAATCTCATTTCCAAGGCTGGATACAGTGGCTCATGCTTGTAATCCCAGTACTTCAGGAGGCCAAAGCAGGAGTTATTGCTTAAGCCCAGGAGTTTGAGAACAGCCTGGACAACATAAGGAGATCCCATCTCTATTTAAAAAAATAAATAAAAATCTCATTTTCAAGCCAAATCACAGCTTTCCAATAAATATAAAGAAATATCCATGTTATACCTGCACTGCTGTTAGGAAACTGTAAGTCTTATCACCTCCCAAATCTATAAAAGTCTCTGTGTGGGTATCTTCACTAGCAAGACTTGGCCAATAGCGGATGGATCCTTCTCTGGTGGCAACCATGACAGCAACAGCCTCAAAACAAGATCATAACAATCAGCAATCACAATAAAAGAACTCAAAAACCAGGAGTCTGATGGCACTGATACAATAAGACAATTTACTATTTAATCAAGAAAAAACAGATATAAGAACTCGCCAGTGTTTTGGTTTGCATTTCTCTAATGGCTAAAGATGCCAAACACCTCTTCATGTGCTTATTTGCCATCCTTATAGCCTCACAAAGTGTCTGTTCAAGTCCTATCCCCTATTTTTAAATTGCAATTTTCTTATCAAGTTTTTAGAATTTGTAAACATATTCTGGAAGCAAGTCCTATGCTAGCTACATGATTTAAAAATATCTTTTCCCACTCTGTAGCTTGTCTCTTCATTTTCTTGTCTTTGGCAAAGCATTGTTTTAAATTTTTATTTTACTGCCGGGC